TATTTCAATCAAAAACCAGGCTCAAGCCTTAGCAAAACTTTTCCAAAGGGCTGTTCCTGAGGCAGGTATATGTAGAAGACTCCATGTCATTGCGGGCTGATTGAGTGGCTTTTATGTGCCATACATTCAGCTTTGAAAGTTGCATTTGGAACTCAACACCATTTATGCTCTTCTGGAAATATTGGTTTGAGAGCAGAACTCTATTAAAACTACAAAAATGGAGTTCTGGAGGGGAAGAGGGAGTGTTGGAGATGTCTGGTGCATCTTGTGCAGTTTTCATGACAGAACAGATTTGGAGCAGCAGTGTGACCTGGGTCCTGCTCACCTTGGGGCTTAATCAGGCCAGAGCCAAGTGGATAACTGTATTTGAAACTGGACACATACAAGGGTTATCTAATTTTAGATTGAACTAAGCTTATTCTTCTTTATTTGTCCATCAATAACTTTCAATTTATTGTTTCATCAATAAATGAAGCATTTATAACCTGCTGCTATATAAGAAAGCAGCATGCAGCCGCAACTCTGTTAGAAGTGATGCATTATGTCGGAGCAGGCCCTGCAAATTTAGCTTTTGTGAGGTTAATTTGTATCAGTATTGCACCTGAACAAACCACTCATGAGGTCCTCAGTTTGCCAAGTGGTTGGGCTTCAGAATAGTACTCTTTCCCTCTGCCATCAAATGTTGCAAGCAGTGAGAATTTGAGATGAGGTGCTGGTCTTCTCACCTGTCCCCTTTCAGTCCAGGGATAGTTGCTGGAAGTAAACACCTGAGAGTGCTTTCTTTCTCTTTGTATCAGAGAAAATCCTTGTGAATGGCTGGGACACATTTGATCATTTTACAGTCTTGTTAGGGGGGAAAAGGTTTAAATAAAACACAGACTTTAATGCAACAAACACATCTCCAGGTGTATTGTGAGTTTAGTTTTCCAGAGTCATAGGTCAGCTGCCAGGGCAGATTACAGCTGGATTCAGTCCTTGACCGTAGCAGGATGTTCAGTGTGGTTACAATATCTAAACCAATAACTAAATATCATGTGGTTTTATCTGTAACAACAGCTCTGACAGAGGAAGTCTGGCCCCAGGGCTGTGAAGTCCTGGTGCCTGTGTGATAGAGAACTGCTGTTCAGCCTCAGAGAATCAAGAATGACTTTCCATTTCCTCTCTCTTTTCTCCCTCTACTGGCCAACAGAATAAGATCATAAAGCATTCAGAGCTTCCTTTTGGTCTTCAGTGACATCCTAATCTAGAATTTATGCAAACATCCAGCTTTGACTCATCTTGAAATTAGAATTAAATGAGCCAACACAGCTGCATTAAAGACCTACACAAGGTGGAACACAATATGCTGTTCTGCGGCTAACTTTGGTTTCAACCCTTGTCTAGCAATTGTCACAGGAATATTCTGGAAAGCTCATTGTGATCAAAGCCTTAAAAAAATTCCCTGAGAGTGAGCCTGGGACATCTGACTGCCTGTGGGGCCAACTGACCATAGTCACCCCATCACTGCAGGACCACCAGGGTGTGAAGATCCATCTGGAAATCTCCAGTCCAACCCCGGCTCAGGGCAGGGTCACCTGAAGCAGGCTGTAAAGAGATGTTTCTAGTGAGGTTTGACTATCTCCAAGGATGGAGTCTCCACAACTCTGGGAATCTTGTTCCAGTGAACGGCCTCTATTGTGGTAAAAGAAAAACTACTTCTTATGTTTCATTTTAATTTTCTGTGTTTGTGCCCATTGCTTCTCATCCTTCAGTTGAGCATGCCAAAGGGATACTTCACAAATATTGGTGTTAAATGCTTTTGCACCCCGGAGTTTTAGCCTTTTCCTTCTAGATTGCCTACTGCTTTATATTTTCTGAGAAGCAATCTCTGATTATAAAATGAGATGATATAGCAGCAAACATTTTTTCAAGTCTGCTTCTTCTGAAAGAAAGCCTGTCCAGCTGCATTAAGAGAAATATGAGCCTCTTAAAGCTGCTCACCCCTCAGACAGAAGGAAGATATATTCTGTTCTGCCTTAGACAATTTAGAGCAGCCATTTCAAAAGCAGCCTTTAGCATCTTGAAAGCAAACATGCTCTCAACAAGGCTTCTTAAGGAAAAAAAGGACCCTCATAAAAAGCGTGAGTAATAAAAGATAATCTCTTAAAACAGCTGGTGAAATAATGGGAAGTATCCTGGACTAGAGGTAAATTTTGCTATCTTTTTGGCTACTGACACCTCAATGCATGGGGTTTATCTCTCTCCTGGACTGTGGGGGAATAATTTGGAACAGTCCTGCTTTAGACTTAGTACACTTTTTATACTGACACTGAGAAAAGCAGTCTTTAACCATCGCTTTGACCCTCAGGAGGGCATTTTGTCTTTCTTTGCAGCTTCTTGGAAGTTCTTCATCTGTGGCAGACAAAATGTTTCACAGCTTTTCTTCTGAGAGACTCAGAAGTATTGTGCTAAGATGAAATCCTTTGTCTTACAGGTTCACCCCACTACTGAAAGCAGTTGAACCCACAACACCTTTGGCAATGTTTTATATGGTTATTCTAATACAGCACCTAGCAGTCTCTAGCTCTCCTTCTCACCCAACTGCAATTTTCACAGGACAAGAGACCCGCCTCCACAGACCACAGGAAACCCTGTGTATGGAGTAGGAATATCCCCTCCAGGCTACACAACTGTTTGGGACTGGCATAATTTTCACCATCGTAATGTTGCTCTGAGGTACTTTTTAAAATTTCTGCAGAGGTTTGTGGGGGGACAGTTCGATCATCCCCTTGCCTAGAGAAAAATTGAATCTCTTGGTTCTGATCTGAAATGTTAGCAGTGAGGTGCTGCCAGTAGATAATTAGTCAGAAGAATATAATGTGGGTATTCATAAGCAGTGATAAATAAATTTGTTGGTCGTTTTTCCTGGTCAAGTATGAATTGTAACTGCAATGTAACAGCAAGGCAGAGGGCCCCTGAAACACTGGGTATTCTGAAGTGCCTGTTATGGCTTCAGAAAGTTGAATCTTTTGGAAATCTTTGCAGAAAAATGAATATAAAGGATTTTAAGATGCAGCAGTGTCTCTGTGGTGACATGAGATGAAAAATGCCAAAGTTCTATACAAAGCTTTCAGGTCCATTTTTCTCCAAGCACATCATCCATCAGATGATGACCTCAGAAGTTATGGACTACCACATTTAACACTGGAGAAGGAATCCCTGGAGAACTAAACAGAATCCATTACTGTTTCTTACCTATACAAGAGAATATGAAATACTGTGTTTTCCACTTGTAGGGCTGGTGTGTTTCCCTTGCACTGTCTTCCCAAGAGATCCAAGGGTATAATGAATCGTACTGGAAACACAGATTTGTTATTTTGTTGGAATACCCAGGTTCAAAGTCTGGAATATCAGATTTTGCTGGGAAGAGGGATGAAAACCTTGCTGTTTCTGGAAAGCACTGTACCAGGGTGTTGCAGCCATGGGAAATGCTCTCCAATGTGTGGGACTTAGGAATTCATTCCAATAAGCTCAGCAATAATCATTGCCTTCTTTTCTTTTTGTTTCTAGAGGTGTGGCCCTCAAGCAAACCTGATTTGTGCTTCTCCAGGGTAAAAACTCTTTGCTTTCCCAGTTCCCATCCTGCTGTCCATCCATTTGAGAACTGTGGGAGGAGAGGCTGTCAATGAAGATAGGTAAAAAAGCTGCTCAGGACCTCAGCCTTCTCCTGGTCTATTTTTACTAGTTTTCCAGCATTTTGTTTGGGGAAGAGAGCTTGATATGGGAACAATTGTCCATAGCCTCACTTAGTGCATTGTTCCTTTGAATTTAGAAGCCTTCATTTGTTTTCAGATGGTTCCTTTTCCTAAAAAGAGCTGCCTTAGACTTAGAATAAGTCCCTGTTATAGAAGCTATCAGGAAATTACTGAAGTTCTGCTGAGATCCAGCTTGTCAGCAGCAGCTTCTCATCCATCCTGGGAAACTGGGCACAGTTTTTTTCCCTGGAGAGATGCTCCAGCAGCACTTGGAAGTGAATGCTGGGGATTAATCCATAGGAAAAGTTAAATTCATTATCTCTGCAAGGCTCTTGGCAGCACTGAATTTCCATCTAAGGGGAGAGGAGTGACCAAAATTGCCCCTTCCAGTGCAGAAGCTGCTTTATGCTAGGACCTGTAACCTGGGATTTATCCTGATTATCTGACTCTGGAGTCATTGAAGTGCTGGCGTATGGAAAACAGACCAGACAGTGGATAAACCATTTGTGTCATCTGGTAGTTTTTGGGCAGGGCACAGCAAATGCTGTTTAGGGAGAGGAGCCACTGCTTTCCAGTGAGGTATGGGAAAGGCAGCCCAGAGGAGGTGGCTTGGGAAATTGCGAGCTGAGGAGTGGCTCAAATCCACCTTAAACTCCTGAAATAATCCTGTTCCAGCCCCCTGCCATGGCCAGGGACACCCTCCTGGGATGTCCAATGGAAGATGCTCTGCGCCAGGCTGGTGAAACAGGTGGGGTTTTCTCCTGGAGCCCAGTCCCAGGCAAGATTGGGGTTTCCATGGGAAGAAGCCTGCGAGCTGCATTTCCAGAGCTGGGAGGTTCCATGCTTGGAACTGTTTCCAGTACTACCCTTTGGTTTTTTCTAGAATTGGGCATGATGTTCCTCCCCAGAGTGAGGTGGTTTTCCCTGGATTGCTGGAATTACACACTGGGTGTTTAAGGGCTCTGTTGTCTCTTTCTCCTGAGTGGAAGAGCGAGGAAATCGGGATACTTCTGACTATCATGGAGATGTGGGAACACTCCAGTTCCAGTGAGGAATGTGATACCCAGCTCGTGGTGTGTGCCCTGAGATGGTCTTGCCTGTTGTTTGTTCTTCAGAGCCCATTGGAGTGCTGGCCTGGATTTGGGAGAAGCGAACTAGCCTGGAGCTGTGAGATTTTTCCTGTCAGAAATCCATGATGGGGATGTTCTTCTTTGCTGTCCCAAAGGGAAGGAGCAGCTTTGAAGTTGTTGCAGCCACATGCTGTGGATGCATCCCCTGAAGACCATTTCAGGATTGTTCATCTGACTCTGCCCCTGACCCATGGCTTCCAGGGAGGCTTCTGGTGTTCTGGATATATCCAGGAGAAGATATTCCAACATGTGCTTTTAAGCCAGGAGTTCCAAACCCAGTAAGTCAGTCACATTCTGTGTGAGTTGTCCCAGTGGTGGGAGGGGGGAGGGACACCCCCACACTGCTGTTTGAGACATTACTGCCTGGGAATTGCGAGCATTTTAGAGCAGTGAGACCACAAGGTCAGCCCTGAACTGCATCCCCAGGGAATCCTGAGGCATCCCATGCCTGTGGCACTGAGTAACACAACCCTGATGTGGAGCAAAAAGAGGAGGGGGAAAATTTTGGGTTAATGGGAGGAATGGAATTGGGATTTCTGGAATGCAATTGGGATAGGTGCTGATGATATGGAATCATGGGGTAGTTTGGCTTGGAAGGGACCAAAAAGATCCTCTGGACTCTGTTATCCCCTCCTATGGCAGAGAACATATCAAAAACTGCCTCCTCACCTTCATGGAATGGCAATGGCTTTTGGGAGCTCTGGCATGAGCACCTGGAGACCAGATAAGAACAGAAATTTGATTGTTTTGCCTGCTGTTGGATGTTGTTTTTGCTTTTCAATATGTTCCTCTGATTGATGTTTTCATAGTAGTTTTCTAGGCCTCATTTGAGGGTAATTCCAAGAATTTGGAAATAGCTGGAAAAGAGTGAGGAAAAAAGGTGACCCTGATCCATTTCTAGTAATTACAAACTTCTCCCACAACACCATTCTGGGAGAAGGATGGTTAAAGGATAAAAATGCAGAGGAAAAAGTTTTGTAAACCCTCCTGGCTCTCTGACAGAGCAGATCTTCCAGTAATCCCAGTAGAAACTATGGGATCATAAGGTTTTTCAGGAAAGGAAAAAAAGGACAGAAATGAGGGAATAGGCTTCAAATTAATAATGATTTGATGGGTGTAGGAATGAGTCCTGTATGTTTGATGCCCCCCTTCATATTCCTGGAATAATTTTTAAGTATTCCTTTAAAAAATCATTTAAATTTGGGAATTCAGATTTGAAAGGAAACAATGCAAAATAAATACAGGGAGAGATCATGGAATCTTCCTGGAACTGAGGAATGGTTTGAGTGGGAAGGGACCTTTAAGGATCACTTCATTTCATCCCTTGCCATTCCATCCACTAGCCCAGGGTGCTCCAAGCCCCATCCAGTCTGGCTTTGGACATTTCCAGGGATGGGGCAGCCGTGATTTCTCTGGGTTTATGGGCACAAGGGGAAAAATTTTACTGCCTCAGAGTAGTCTCTGACAGCCACTAATCTCAAATTCATGAGAGTCAAGGCTTAAGTTGCTGTGGGAGGGGAATTCCTGGAATTCCTTCAATTCAGTTTACTGCAGTTATATATCAATCACCATACTGTAGTTTTTCTGTATAAAATGCTACGCTTGTTGTAAACAAAAGCCTAAAATCTCCACAAACATAACTATACAGTCCCGAGAATCAAATTACCACAATGTGAGGGAAGAACTACACAAACCTCCTAAATCTTAAATTTACAAGAGTCAACTATAACAAGCTGTCTCTTTTACAGCTCTAACAGAGTAACTTCACAAACTCTACGAGGAGAAGGATCACAAGGTATTGTGTTACAGTGCCCATCCCTTGCCTCTTAAGTCTTGCAGGTAAAAGATCAATTAATACCTGAAAACAAAGCATTGACGAGAGACTGGTTATACTCAAACACCAGGCGTCACAGGGAATACTGTTCCCTGCAACTAGAAAGTTCACACACAAACTCACTGGGAAGGGGGTGTCTCTTAAAGTGTCCACTTTTCTCAACACAACACAGCATACAACAGTTCAGCATCCACCCACATCAGCTCCCTGTGGCCTTCACACACTGTGGATACAATAAAAATAACAGCACACAGTAAAGTTATTAACTGGATCCAGTGATTTACTGGACTCACAAACTCCCAGCAGTCAAGCCTGAACCACTGAGGCAGCAGAATCCGCTCAGTTCATCTAGCCACGGTTACAACATGCACGATGTACACAAGCACACAACATGCTAGGTGTCCTCACCTACGCTTCTCCACTTGCTCTGCTCCTCCTCAGCCACGGGTAGAGCCTCCCCTCCCACGCCATGGGTACCCTCACTCACTTGCTCTCCCGTTCATACAGCCGAGTCCACCAAGCCACTCACACACACAATTACAAACCACACTAACAATGTCCGGACACTGCAAGCACACAGTGGTAGCAATAAGGTCCAGATTCATTCAGCTCACCCCCAGAGCTGCTAGCAATTGTGCAATTGAGCAGTGAACCCCTCCCCAGTCACTCTATCGACCAGGGGACCCCTCTGCCAGCAAAACCTCAAACTTTTACTCACACAGGGATGAGGCTGTGCACTCAGGTCTCTGAAGAGCCCTATTGCTTTCCCCCACAAGGCCCTTCTAAGGACACATACTGTGTTATCTGCACACCACAGGTCATTGTTTGTCTCCACAGGGGTGAAATGCAGACAGAAAATCAAAACCCCGCAATTCCTATAATGATTTGTATGGATTGTATGTTTATTACAGCACTGGACACATGTGAGGGATCTTTCCCCTTCAGAGGACATGCATGCCCCTGAGAATTCTGGTCTTTTTTTATTACCCTTAACTAATTTACATATGCATAGATTTTCACAATAGGTTCATGCATATTCATTCTGCTGATTTCATGTTTCACTTACAGCTAGTTACACTTGTGCTCATTTTTTGTCAGAAAGTACAGAAAGAACTCCTGGGTCACTCTGCGCTGTCTGTTTCAAGATCCAAGAAGTATTCCTTATCTCTTTAGCTTGGAAACTTGCATTTTCTCCTCAGCTGGGGCAATTTTGCTAGTGCTGCAGTTACCAGACTAAACAGCGTATTTTACTTATGTTAGCAAGCTCAAAGCGGCACATTTCACCTAAATCCAAATGGATTTCTATCCTGTTAAATTTTCACGCTGTCTGAGGGGGCAAGCTGAAGCATGGAGCTCCTCCAGGGAAGATCCTGGGGTGTGCCTAGGAGGTTCACCCCCTGCCTTGCTCCTGCAGGGACAGAGACTCTCCTGGCTGGCTCTCCACAAATTTTTTGCAGAAAAATCTCTGCAACTTGCAAAGGTTGTAAAGCCAGTATGATTTATTTCAGCGCTGGATGCATGTTCCCCAGGGACACGTGTACCCCTGAAAATTTCTGAGTCTACTTTATCCCCTAACCTGTTGCATATACATAAAACATATATGCATATGTATTAAAATGTCTTATTAATTTTTATGAGTCTGTGCTCTTCTTCAGTCACGTGGTTGTAATGTAGTGTTTGTAATCCAGATTCAGTTTTTCCATCTGCTTCAGCCTCAAGGTTGGTGGGGCCTTTTCTTATTTCTCTTCATCTTGGATGCTTGCATTCCTTTTTAGGCAACCTTGAATCTCCTTTGTTCTCTCTGCAGGCCTTTTTGTGAGCACACAAGTTAATAGACCAAACAAGCAGATTCCAGCTAAATCCAAAATTGGTTTCTACTCCAAGTTAAATTTTCAATGCCCTGTTTCAGTGCCCAGCATAGGGGTGACCATCCAGAGGGTCTCACCAGTCTGTCTGTGCTGGCCAGGTTTAGGATGAGCAGGTTGGTGACTGTGGGTCTCAGATTCAGTCGAAGAAAGAAACTGATAGTTTCTAGCCAGGCAAAGAGCCTGGGAAAGAGCTGGGAAAGAATGTAAATAATTCTTTATCTCTCTTGTTTTTCACATTGTTTATAGTTAAGTTCTACCACTGTGCATCAAGCACTTTGCATCAATGCTTTGGGTTGTTTTCACTTCAGAACCAATGGATTTGGTTCTTATGAAGCTCTGTATAAAAGAGCAGTGTATTTTGAATAAACCAGCCTTCTGAGTCAAGTCTATTCATTCCCGTCCTGCCTCGATAGCGACAGGTGACTGTCCCTGTGTTTGCTCCACAGGATGAAGAAGCCAACCATGCTGAGGAGGGATTTGAGCATGTGTGGGAGGATGGAGACAGTGGTCACCAAAAGCTGGGGAAGGCAGAGGTTGTCTTCCAAGGAGAGGGACGTGTCTATCCTGTTAAAATTCAGGCTGTGAGACCAAAGGAAAAAAAAGGTTACATTCAAATTTCTTACTCGGGTTCTAATATGCGATTGAAGAGATTTCTAAAAAGCTCATTATCCATGATGGGACCTCAGAAAAGCAGGAATTAAAGCTTTCCAAAGTTGCCTGTACCTTCCTGCAAGTATCCACATGCAGCCGCCAATTCATGTTTTTGAGCGGAGCTGTGATAAGGCCACATGGAACTGGACCAGAATGGTGGCCAATTTTCATGGGGAAAAAACCTCATACCCCCAGTGTCTCGGGGTCAGGTGAGAGGTGTCTTTGAAGCTCCAAGGGCAGTGAGAATTCTAGTTGCTGGCATCTTTGGCTTCAGAAAAATCCTGTGAAATAGGCAAATTTAGGAGGCAGCAGCCCACTGTCAGCCAGTAAGACTCAATGAGAACAGTGGGTATTTTCCATGGGAAAAAAACCCCTCATTCCCCCAGTGTTTCAGGGTCAGCTCAAAGAAGGTGTTTGGGGCTCCAAGGGCAAACATCATCTTAATTGCTGGCAGCTTTGTTCTGGAAAAAAATCCTGAAACAATTGTGAATTTAGGGGGCAGCACCTCCCATTAGGCCAAAGTGTCTGGATGTGAATGGTGAATATTTTCGTGGGAAAAAAACCTTGTTCCCCCAGTGTCTCAGGGTCAGCTCAGAGGTGGCATTTGTGGCTCCAAGGGCAGAGTCCTTGTTGCTAGCAGCTTTTGCCTTGGAGAAATCCTACAATGTTAGGAGGTGGCACCCCTCTGGTCCAAGACACAACTGGACATGAATAATTGCCATTTTCCATAGGGAAAAAACTTGTTCCCCCAGTGTCCTGGGGTCAAGTAAGAGGTGGCATTTTGGGCTCCAAGAGTAGTTAGTCTGCCAGTTGGAAGCACCTTTTGTCTTGGAGAACCTGTGCGAGATTTGCGATTTTAGGAGGCTGCACCCCAATGTTGTCCAGGATGCAAACAATGGCCATTCTCCATAGGAAAAAGAATTTGTTCCCCAGTGTTCTGGGGTCAGGTCAGTGGTGGCATGTGAGGCTCCAAGGGCAGTCAGAGTCCTAGGTGCTAGGAGCTTTTGTCTTGGATAAATCCTATGATGACTGCAGTTTTAGGAGGCGGCACCCCACTACTGCCAAGGTGCGACTGGACATGGTTAGTGACCACTTTCCATAGGAAAAACAGATTGTTCCCCAGTGTCCTGGGGTCATGTAAGAGGTGACATTTGGGGCTTCAATGGCAGCCAGAGTCCTATTTGCTGGCAGCTTTGTTCTGGGAAATGTCCTGTAAAGTGTATGATTTTAGGAGTGATTTAAAGACGTGTAGATGTAGTGCTTGGGGACATGGGGCAGTGGTGGCCTTGGCGCTGCCAGGCACTGTGATCTCAGAAGGCTCCTCCGACCTGAATGATTCTGTGATTCCAAGGACACTCTGTGTACAGCCAGCCCAGACACACCTGTGCCTGCTGCAAACATCATTTCACTTCCTCTCCTTCACTTGCTGCCAAGTATTCCCTGGCAACAGGGAGCATGGAAGCAGTCCTTGCTGCTGGAGAGGCCATTAGGATTAGACCAAATTCCCTTCTGAAAAAGCTGACAGAATCTAGCCAGTCCTGTCTCCATCTGCCTGGGAAGCTCACAGTCCTTTCCAATGGCAAAACAGAGGGAAATCACCTCGTGCAGGGGAACAATGACACAAGAGCTGTGGGGGACAGCAGCAGAGACTGGAGAGGAAGTGTAACACCAGAGCTTTCCAAAGGAACACCTGGCAGATCAACCTCCAGGACCTGTGGAAAACATTTTCCAGGTGAGTTGTGAGTCCATCTATTCCTGTCTTCCACTCACAGACCTTTCAGTCATGGTCAGGAACTGCTCTGGATGGAAGGTCTCTTCTTTTTTAAGGGATAAATAGATAATGAAGACCTTTCCATGATTTGGAAGCATTTTTAAATATGAGAGATTTTGATTAAAAAAAAAAGAACATTAAAATTTTACCAAATATTACCTAATTCTGTGAGTTGATTTTGCATATTTTTTGTTGTATCAAACAGCTTTCAGCAAGTGGTTTATTTAAATTTAGAGCTCTTTTCCAGCAAGACTAAGTTAACAGTCAGAATTATAGAATCAGGCACTGGTGTGGTAGAAAAGCATAGAAGAGACTCTGTACATCTTTGCTGTGTACATGTGCAATGACAAAAAGGCCTGGTTTTGCCTCTCACCTGCTGACATCCTGCCTACCTGTCTTTGTCATAGGGTGGCACTGCACACTAAAATATAGTGGATACTCCCAAAAAATACTCAGTTGTGTTTGCAGCAGGCCTTTGACATAACTTCTGATCATGTGGTGGATTTTTAGGCTGCCCAGAGTCTTTTTTGTTTGCTTTTTGATATTGGTGCTGTTGCGGTTTGGTTTGGTTTGGTTTCTTACAGAAAGTTTTAACTGCCTGAAGAGAGTTTCTTGTAAGTGATACAATCCCAGACTACCAGAAAACAGTAAAGAGAAATTAAGGAGCAGAACAAAAGGGTGAGGGAGACCATTCTAGCAACAGAAGTGTGATGAGTGTACACTAGAGTAGCAGAAAGTTAAAAAAATAAAGATGTGCTGCCACCACAACTTGAAATCCTAAAGATCCAACTTCACACTCAAGTTCTCCCAGTGGAAAATGCTGAGGAGAGAAGAGGTGAATGTACTCTGCATTCAGTTACTTACCTGTCTGCTGTAAACAGTTTGAGAATCTCTCTCTTCAAATAATCCACTTGGAAAAAATCTGACTTGCCTTTCATTTTTTGGTCTTAAATATCACCCTAACAATGATCAGAAATCATCACTGCAGTGCGGTTTGAGATCCAAATTTTACTACTTCCATGCAGATGGTATTTGCACAAAAAGTTGAGGGAAGTACTATATCCTTTCAAGCTGCTATGGCAGAGACTGTATTTACTTTGTGTCTTTTTCCCCCTATACCTCAATTCACTTAATGATTTTACTTTTTTTTTATATTATGTATGCAGTGTCACTATTGATAGCAGTAGAAGTAAAGAACCTTCATCTTACTTCCCAGAAAGGGTAGAAAACATCTGTTTATTGAATCATAAAAAAAGGAAAGGTCCTTGAGAAATTTACTTTTTGTCTACACAAATCATAGCTATTACACTGGTTGCATTTTTTTATAATGGAAATGGTATGGAGAAGTAATCAACATCAAATGCAGCTTAGTCAGGAAGTGACAGATTCCAGGGGTTTATATTTCTTTTCTACCCAATCCAACATCAAACATTCACTCTCATTTCACTTGCTAAAAAGGGGGAAAGAAAAAATAATACATTAAATTAATAAAATGCACATAAACCTCAACAGGAATGGATATGGAAAATAATGTGTTTGGATATGTCTAAAAAGTCTCACTTCTGACAGGCAATCTCTGTTTAAAGGGATGGGTTTTTCAAAGTCTGGTTTGGAAGTCCTCATAAATTAGTTTGATCAAAGATCTACCATGCCCTAAAGAATATGGATTATTAAGAATAGGGCTGCTAAAGAATATGGATTATTCTTAGCCTATGGTTTTGTATTCTATATAGGTCAGACTACAGACTGACACAGAGTGGTGTGGCCATGCTCCTGCATGCCATGAAAATCTCTGTGCTGGGATAGATGAATTTATTGGAATAACAGGACTGCTCACCACCTCCTCTAATTAAACTGGTGTGACTTGCACATGGGAGATTGTTGAATTTAAACTTTCCCCCTTAATCTTTGGGGCTTAGTGTTTTGGCTAATTGCTTTACAGAAAACACTGACCACAAGGGTTTAGCTGGTGGACCAATGAAGGGGCCTTGAATTTGATTAAGAAATTACTTTGGTAGTTTAGGTGCCCTCTGCTGTTCCTCTCTCTTTGCAGCATAGGCAGAGCAGAGCATGTGCCTGGGAAGCTGCACCTTCAGGTCAGGATTGGAGAGAGATGTAAAGAGGGGCTTGCAAAAGCTAAAGCTCACCTGCTTACATGAGGTGGCTGGGGCTGGCAGCCTGGCTTGTTCTTTCACAAAAAAAGCTTTGGGCAACTGGGATAACAGTGCTTCAAGCTGCTGCAGCAGCACATTCCTGTGAGTGCCTATCAGGCTTGAGAAACCTCAGGAGAGCTGGGTTTGGATTCTGGCTGCATCATCACCTCCAAGTCCCTAAGAGCATTTAGAGCCACAGGAGCTCCTGGAGTGGTGGTACCCACCTGCAGGGCCCTGCCCTTGGTCTCGATGGGCAGTGTGACTGCAGAGATGGCACAGATGATGCACACGGAGGAGAAGAGACACAGGGCTCCCAAGAAGGAAGCGCTCATCAGAACCTGCAGGTCAAAGAACATCAAACAGGAGCTTGCTGGTGTGGGGGGCTGACACTTAATTAGCAATTAAGAGTGGACAAAGGGTCACAAGTGCCCGAGAGACTCCACAATAGAAAAAAACAGTATCTTGTGAACCTTAAGAGCTTTCAGAAAGTATCAAATAGTAGTAAGTTGAACTCTGTGATGAGAGTTACCCGAAGTTACATCTGGCAAAGACCACCCAAGTACTCTGTATATGGGGTTGGGAGGGAATTGATTACATCCTCCCTTTTTTGGGATGAATTTCAGGGACATCTCTCTGTATTTGATGGCAGTGTTCAGCACCATGTTTACCAACATTTTCAAGCATGCTCTTACTTGTGATATAAATGGAGCCACCATTGCTCCTACACGGCATACTGCCCCACTTGTCCCCATCCCCAGCGCTCTCATTGTGGTGGGATAAACCTAAAAAAGGCCATAAATAAATTGGATTAGTGCAACAGCAATCTGCAATATCTTTTCTTTTTCTTTTTAATTTTTTTTTTTATTAGAGAGACCTATTGTTTTATCAATGGCAGCTAGTGGGATAAGATATGAAAAGAAATAAAAGCTCCCTTGGGCCTTACTTGAGCCATTACAAATCTCTCATTTTTTTCCCCCAAGTGAAGTTTCAGGGCAAGTCAAAGCTGGATGTGATTCTCCTTTGTTTAGCATGTTTAGCACCACTACCTCCACTTTATTTCGTGCCTCTATGATTAAAATCACAGAGTTTAGGTTGGGTGCTAAAGGAAAAATTCTGTTTACACTGCTGAGCCCTGTATCTGGGAAGCAGGAAGAAAAGATATTGTCTGCAGCATTCAAGTCTGCCTATTCATTTTTATCAACAGCACCTTTGTTTAGAAGGAAGAAAAAGAAAAACAGATCCCAGTACGAAATATTCAGGCTTAGAAGAATGTGCTTGGTGTCATTTTTCTTTCACATGTCCCAAACACCTGTGCCAATTAAACACTTAAATATTAATTTTACTGAACTTTTAGTCCTCTTAATATCAACAGATTTTAGCAAGTATACTCATATAAGCCTTTGTTTAAATACATTACTGGGCCAAGCAAGCTAATTCAATAAGAGTCCAGGCACTTAGCTTAAAAGATTTTGATCGTTGATTAAATTGTGAGTAGAATTGATTTATAGTATGGCTGTTAAAGCAGTGGTCTTTACATCAACAGCAACTTATTCAACACTGCTAAAATTGTGGTATTAAAGCCAGGTGCTAATTTAACTATTACAGTGCACTATTAAAAGTGCAAGGGAGTTACTTCTGTTTGCTTTGGATAGCTTTAGTCAATTAACAAGCAAATCCATTTAACACCATACAATTGTTTTTAAAAAAAAGAACAACAAAACGCCCAACAATTTATACTTGTAGAACTCACGGCTCCAAAGTTGTATGAAGGAAAAGCTCTTTAAAGGATTAAAACGTTTTTCAGACAGAACATAGCAATTTCCATTAAGTGAAAAGGATCCTACATATAACCCCATATACTACCTCAAACAGCCCCTTAAGTGCTGGAAAATGTTCCTTTTAGTGGTAGTCTGTTCTCTCACTATGGGGGTTAAATAGGGGAAAGATTGTGGGTGTTGGAAGATAGTGATACCAAACATCCTCAAAAAATGTTTTATAAGAGCTGAGCGACAGTTGGTTTAATAGGGCACTCCTCTTCCATCTACTCCTGTCATCTCCAAGCTGATTTTCTACTTCCTTCTTATATCTTGCATATGAAAACACTGGCCAAGATGACCGAGATACACAGCTCTAGGAAGGTGACTCTTAACTAGTCCATAAACTAGCAGGCAGTGTTCCTGAGTATACACAAATGGTATTTGAAGCCTCCAAGTAGCTCAACATACCTCAATGAGAACCCACCTCTGCTGTGTAAATGTAGATGGTGTTGAAGTTGGCTGAAACCAAGGCACGCAGCATGAAGAGAAAGCCAACCATGCCTGCACTGGAGAGAAAGTAATGTGGAACAGAGTTAATGTCACTGACCAGCATCTGCAGAGATACCAGAGTGAAACAAATGGGGAAAAAAGTGAATGAAAAATATAACTTCTTTCCAATGCATGTTGTTTACACATTTTTAAAATTTTCTGGACTGTGCTAGAAAGCAGCTTGTTGGATGCTTAGGGGAAGCCATGTGGGCTCAGTAGTACAAGTGAATCCTTCTGCACACCACTGCACCACAGAATCTGCTGCCACAGCTTTCCCAGGAAAAGGAGAGCCAGTCAGAGGCTTTTCTCAAACTTACAAAAATTACTGGCCTGCCAGACTGGTGAACTGAGAATACCAGAGATCCTCCTCTCAGAATTTCATACCCTCAAACAAGACCTACAGTCTGAGCCAGAGTACCTTGAGGTGCAGATATTAAGGAGAAGAAAGAATAGAGCTGTACATCCCATGGTGATACACAGGCTTAGACGTCGTCCAAGGAAATTGATGCTGAGAATGTTCACAGGATTTACTGGAAATAAAAAGGAAAACCATAAAAAGCCATTCGATGATCTAACTGCAATGATTGTCTGCCTTGACAGACTTTACACAGTGTGACTCAAAGATACATGTCTGTGTGCCCAATGCCTACCAACCTTACAGTGTGACTCAAAGATACATGTCTGTGTGCCCAATGCCTACTAACATCCTGTAAAATGCATAAACCCTATCATTCTCTTCCTGCATGCAAAGCTTGTGATTTGCCCCTGTGTCCCTTTTGTTTCACCTTCCCCTGAGATGATGAAGCCTGTGCTTCTCTGAAATTGGCTGTGCTGAGGCAGAACACCAGTGTCTGTCCTGAGCCATTCAAGGAAGGCACGGCTGGGTGAGCAGCACAGGCCTGGGTGGTTTTGCTCCCTCTGCCCACAACCCAGCCAAACACCAGGGCCTGAGGTGTGTCCCACCCTGCTGAGCCAGGTGCCACAGGCTCATGGTCTGCATCCCAGGAGCTGCCAGCAGTGCCCAGTTCGTGCTGGCCCCTGCCGCCAAGTGCACCCACAGCTCGAACCTTTGTGGTGAGCACTGTGAGAGGGCAATGGCAGGGCAAGGATGGGGGAAGAGGTTACGTGTGATCTCCCCGGCTGTGCTGATGATCATGCTCTGGTAAGCAGCGGGCCCAAACAGGCGGCAGTGGCAGGGGCTGTGGCTCTCCTCAGAGTCATCACTGGAGTCCTGCAGCGGTGGGGCTGCAGAGCCACAGACAAGGTCCCGCTCCAGCAACTCGGCACTGGCCAAGATGACGCCGTAATAAGCGAAAGCTATGCCAAGCCTGTGGGGAGAAATGCTGCAGTGAGGTGCAGCTATGATGGGGAAGGTGAGGAAACTCAAATGCAGCAGGTTTTGGATGCCCTGGAATCTCTGCTGCTGCTTGCACCAGCTCTGCATGATGGAACCCCTTAGCCTGAGCAGAGAAGTGGCTCTGGCGTTCACCTGTCCCATGGCACTCCCCTCCTACCTATGTCTAGGCACTGCTCTTCCTCAGTAAACCTCACCCCAGCTCATAGCTCAGCTTTGTATTGGGTTTTCATGGCCAGGTTTTGCTAGTTGGTTGGGACTACAGGGATGGCTTCTGTGGGAAGCTTCTGGAAGCATCCTCCATGCCAGATGCCAGCTGACTCCAGCTGCTGACCAAGGCTGAGACCATCAGCAATACTGGTAGTGCCTCAGGGATAACATTTGCTAGAAATGGAAAAAAAAGGTGCAAGAGCAACAGCAGCCAGAGAAAGAGATGAGAACATGTGTGAGAAACATTGCTGCAAACACCCAAGTCAGTAAAGAATGAAAGGCAGGAGGTTCTTCAGGTGCCAGAACAGATTCCCCTGGTTCAGACCAGGGTGAGGCAGCTGTGTCCGTGAAGCCCTTGGAAGTCCACAGTGGAGCAGAGATCCACAGTGGAGCAGAGATCCACTTGCAGCCTTTGGAGGTTCTCATGCCAAAACAGGTGGATGCCTGAAAGAGGCTGTGACCCCATGGGAAGCCCATGTTGGAGCAGGCTCCTGACAGGACCTGTGGGTCCATAGAGAGAGGAGCCCATGCTGGAGCAGGTTTGCTGGCAGGACTTGTGACCCTCTGGGTGAGGTGAGGGCAGCCTTGTTTTGTCATTATCAAGTAATTCAGAATACACCTGATCATAAGCAGGCTGAAAAGTAATTTTCACTTTTTTATCCCCCCTGGCAGTTTCAGAAATGATCAGCAGAATCTGGGCCACCTGGGAAGGCAGGCTAGGGGGCATGGGAATGCAGACCTGAGAACATACTAGGAACTCCTGGGATGACTAGGAGACAAAGAAAGACAAAAACCCAAAAGGATATTTCATAACACTCATAGAAGTCAAGGGGAAAAACATATAAAAAATTCAAGGCCTGACTTCACAGCATTTTGGGTCAATGAGTTCCCACAGACATATTATTTATACATTTCCATTCTAGACAGCAAAGCCAATGAAACATGTATTACCCTTGCACACAGCTGCTGGGATCACTGCATATGAAACCTGTCGCCTCAATCTTAATTTCCCCCAGTGAGTAGCACTGGTAATGGTGAATGTGTTTCTGTCAGAGCCCTTTGGCCATCCTTAGGGAGAACAAGTTTTCCCCAGGCAGGGACGGAGAGCTGCAGGCACACAGCTGGTCCAGCTGCAGTCAGGTGTGGGCGCTGCCCTGTAGCTCTCCCCTGGCTCCCAGGAGCTGCCCTGTCCTGAGGAAAGATTCATAGCACCATCCTGGAAGTCCAGCCCTTTTCTCCCTAAGTTAACAGCAACCAGTCAGGGTGTCTGAGGTGTGGTCTGAAACAGGACAAGCCTATGGTGATCCATTCTTCCAGCTGCCAAGGATCTGCAGCTACCATCAGAGGCAGAGTGGTGTCCTGTTAAAGGCAGACTCATTGGGAGCCTTCTGCTCCCTGCACACTGTCAACCAAGAGAATGAGCTGATAAGCAAAACAAAAAAAATTACCATATGATCCATATCTGCAAAGTGGTTCTGAGGTATTTGGGGTGGATGAGGTCCTTGAATCTTCCCCTTCTTTCCTGAAAATCATACAATAGCAATAGAAGTTTATATAAAGGCATCTTTTATACTGGAGCAAGTGTTCTGTGAGAGCAGTTGGCACACCAGGCCCTCCTGTTCTCCCCCTGTCCCCAGGCTGCTTGTGGCACAGACAGAGCCACAGATGGTGCAACACAGCACCCATCAAACCTCCAGAGAGAAAAGCCCTGCTTCCCAAAAGATACCCACAGGAAGCTGCAGTGCAAAGAAGGGAGGAAGGGAGAAAAGAACATCCTGAGCTCTCCTGGCCCCAAAGGACCCCCCAGATCTGTGCAGTCTGGTCCCATTGTGACAGTGCCAGTGCCAGAAGGGGCCCTGATTGCTGTTGGGGGGCCAGCATTGCTGGGGCTTCTGTCAGCTCCCACTGCCCTGCGTGCTGCTCTGCCTGTGAAGCTAACTTTTGGACACATACATCTTTCTGGGAGGCCTTGAAGTGCCAGTGAGCAGAGACTAGCCAGCACTGGGGATCCTGCCAGGCCTGCTGCCCCCCAGGGTCCCACCACCAAGGGGAGACAAGTTCACAGGGATGGTGTGGGTTGACTTTATTTTTATTTTCCTCATCATTAGTTAAGCCTAAGAGAGAGCAAAACTAATAAAAGCCCTTCCCACATCCAGTGTGGGTCCATTACATAAATTCAATTAAATTTCAGGGAAGCTTTAATCCTAACTAATTCCAATAGAATAGCACCATCTTGCATGAATTGCTAAGGACAATACTTGGTGCCTGCAGGATTGAACACGCAGGAAAAAGATCCAGGAAAGGGATTTAAAAGAACTGAATAATTTTGAGGCCCTGAACAATGGATTTGTCTTATCTTCCTGTCTTGGGGGTCAAAGGAGCCACCTAAGTCCTCCCATCCACCAGTCAGCCAGGCCCAGACTGGGTGAGAGGGGGAGAAGTCTGGGGGGAGACTGCCCCCCCCCCTCCCCCCGCAGCACCCACACACATTTTTGGGCATTTCAGTCCAGCAGCAATCCACTCCTGAGCTGCTCAGGTACAGGTGGTGGTATCTGTGAAATGGTCTCTCCTGCTGGGCTGTGGCTCCACACTCAGGGATCTGGGGTCCTGGGACACAGTGGACAAGCCAGGCCAGGGGCTGGGAGAAGCCTCTGGGAGCACTGGGATGACCTCATGGCAGGCATCCTTGCAGCCTACCCACTCACAGCCCTGAGAGAGGCCCCAAGGGACAGTTCCCAGATCTCATGGCAGAGGGGACACCCCTGCGGGATGGGCGGGCAATAAGGAATGGCATGCTTTGCCAGTAGTCTATTTTGTCGTAAAGGAAGCCACTATTTTCTTAGTCCAGTACTTTTCTGAGCGAACACAAACTGAAAAAGAAAACAATCCCAGAAAATTCTATTCCATTTTGAAGGCAAGAAAACTGACATCTTCTTCATTGCTTTCAGCAGTTGTTCGGAAAAGAATCAGGCAAGGAGGACGAGAGAGGCAGAGCAAGATGTGGTTGGCAGTCCCGCTCCCTCCCTGAAGCCCAGATGCCGGCGGCCCTGCCTGGGATGGATGGGCTGGACAGCCTGGACTTACCTTGGCAGGCTCCCTCAGCTGCCCCTCTGGCATGGCCGCCCCATTCATCCTGGCTATCCTCTGCAGCGTGGCCAGCGCAGCCCCCGTGTTTCCCGTGGACACGTTGTACCGTGCCGACTCCGGGATGAACTGGAAGCAGAGCAGGAAGCCTTTCTGCACCTCTTGTCTTACTCGCAGCTTCTCATCACACCTAGGAGCCTGCTCAGGTCGGCACAGGGCACTCCATAGGCTGGAGCAGCCCTTTGCCTGCCCTTCCCCCAGACATGCCCTGGGGTGCTCCGTGTGCCCCAGCCCCCCATTCCCCCCAGGGGCTCACCCTGCCCAACAAACCCATTTGTTGGTCATGCCACTGAGCCATTTGGGTCAAGCGCTTATGAAAGGTGAAAGCCAAAGAGACAGGTTTAACAAAAACAATCCTAAATTAATTGACATTCTAAAATGAGATGAGGCACATATTACTTGCTGAAGCAAAAGTCTTGGAAGGCACAACAAGGCCATTTTAATAAAGAGGAAGAAGTGATTAAAATGTAACTAGTTACTAGCATTTGGTGCTCTTTCCAAAATAAAATATGTTTTTTATTAAATGGTGCTATTAAATGATAAACAATTATATCTATTTCACTCAAATAGGAATTAAAGACCACTTTTTTAAAGGTATGTATATTAACTCTGTCTTTACTTTTCCCCCCAGATTACAAACTTCAGCTATCCAATTTTTCTGGCAAAAATAATCAGAGAAACAAAACATCCAGGCTGTATAAGTGTACACTCACAGCAACCTTATATTTGCCTGCCCAGGTAGCACCCCAGATGGACTTGTGCTGCAGGAAGAGCTTTTACATCTCTACAGACTCCACCAGCCACAGCTCAGCACTGCAGTGCTCATGAGCACTGTAAGCAGGGATTTTCCACATCACCCTCCACAAATCAGATGGTTCTCATGTCCAAGACAATGATGGTTCTCATGGGTTTTCTGAATAAAATATCCCC